ATGCCCACTGCTTTACTAAGTTTGCTTTCTTGAAGGTCACTTGCGATTCCCAATTGTCAGAGCCAGTAGCGATTCTCTCTGTATCTTCTGTGATGGTGCACTGGCCAACCTCTTCTGCCACACCAGCTGCTTGCCCATTCAGTTTCCTTTACTGGTTCTTCTTCCTCATCCTACTCCCTGCCTGGATGATTGACAAACCTCCTGCAAAGAATCCACCTGTCTTCCTCACTAATTTCAAGTTCAACATATCTCAACTCAAGCTTATCTTCTGCACCAAGCTAGCTCCCCTCTCTCACCTGTCCCAGCTACTTCAATAACTTTCTCCAGGTCACCTGGGGCTCAGAGTGTTGTTGTTTTGCCCAGAGTTATTTTTGACTTATTTCCTTTCTTTCCCAAATTCCAGTCACCAGTTCTCTCTACTCTTCCCTCAAAACGTGTCACTTATTTGTAAGCAAATCATTTGAACAGACAATTCACTTGAGAAACAATGCAAATATTAAATAAACACACGAAAACATTTCAAACTAGAATAATCAAAGTAAGCCAATTAAAATTATAATAGGTGCCATTTATGCCCATTGCATTAGAAACATTTTCCACAGATGGCAAGATTTGGGGGAAACTGGTATCCTTATATATTGCTAATGGCAGTGTAAAATGTCTCCTGGGAAAACAATTTGGTGAAATCTATCAAGAACAAGAAGAATGTTCACATTGCTTCAACTAGTAATCACAACTCTAGATAATTATTTTAATGAGATAATTCACAATGAGAAAAAGGTTATAGCTACTCCAAATTTTTCTGCAGCATTACTTTATAATAGCAAGAAATTTGAAACAACCTAATTATCCAACAATTTGGGAATGATTAAGCAAATTACAGCACATTAAGCTGGTTAAATATGCAGCCATTAAAATTTATAACGATTGAGGAGGCCTGTATAGTAACATGAAAAATTGTTTGCCAAGTAATGCTTAGTGGGGAAAAAAAAGAAGCCGGACACACAAAAATCGCATCTACATAGTTTTTATATAACTATGCCAAAAAAATCTCCATACCTATAGATAAGAGCTGGTAGGGAAATAAAAACAATCAGGGTGTTTGGGTGGTAGGAATAAGGCTACTTTTTCTTCTGTTTTTAATTTTCTGTAATTTTGTTTCACAATAAACATCTCCGCACACACCCCCTCCAATATATCACACATATTTTTCTATCTCTTCTGCTTCATTCCTACTGCACCTCCACCTTCCCAATCCAAGGCCCTCCTCTTTCATGCATGGATCACTTACCCTAATTTTTCTTCCTTCAACCTATCTAGGCTACAAATGCAGTAAGGTTGCCTCAGTACCACATTTATCACATCATTTACCTGATCGATAACCTGCAGTATCTTTTGTATTTGTGATACTATATAGTTTTCAAGGCCTACCTATCTTGGTCCAATATTTCACTCTTCACCCCTTTCCTCTACTGTTACTGATGCTGCAGGTTATCGATCAGGTAAAGTTATCATTCTCTAATTGGAGAGCCCAAAGGTACCTCCTGACACATACAACAGCATTTGAGGGAGTCTTTATTTCCACTGCAACATTCCCTTTCTTATTCACTGCCCTTGGTTTCCTTTTAGCCAGGGATGGATCCTGAGATGGAGGTTGGAGAGGTGGATCCAGCATATTTACATGAAAGAGCTTGACCTGACTGTTCAGAGAGGTTAGGGAAGGTTGGAGGAGGTAGGGAATGTGGGGAGACAGAAGCATACCAAAGACCCTCCTATGTAAAATACCCACATTTCAGATGACTGAAACTTTGACTTTCCCAGACAAGAAAGCCACTGTTGTAAAAGTTGTCTTTAAAATTATATATACACATACACACACACACACACACACACACACACACACACACACACATTCTCCCTTGGTTTGGTCTGTAATAAGAAAGGGTCCCTGGATCACCAGGCCGCAAGGTCCCCCACTAGCAGTGGGGTGTGAGTGGACCTTAGTAGCTCTGTATCCTTCCATGGTGATCAAGCAGCTTTTCCCCTATTTTGTCAGATAAACAAGCCATGCATTGTTCTGTCCACCGGTCTGTACGCAGGCTTCCCTTCCTGCAGAGCTGGCCAGAAAAAGCTTGGACTCCTTCATGTGGGGCAAGTGGAATGTACTGTTCAGGGGGAGGCTGGAAGAACCACAGAAAGTAAACAAAACTAGTCAAGGACACTCTTTTGTGCTTCTCCTTATCTAAACACTTTCAAAAGAGGAAAGAGCCTGCAATAGCTTCTATCCCAGACCTCGGATTAAGCACAATCCCAAGCAACACAGGCCATGTTTTCCTTCTTGCCCTGGGTTGGGGCAAAGCCATGGTTCTCTTTCTCTGTGTGCCTCTAAGTATTGCTTAATGGGTCTGCTGGGAGCCAGAATCAGAGATGGGTAATGCTGTCAGAAGATACTGGGGCAAGAGCCCACTAAGGCACCCCATCCAGAATTTTTGCATCTCCCTCTCCTCATCTCTCACAAGTGTTTACCAGAGGACTCTTCTGGGAGCTAGCTTCTGGCTTATCTGCCACTTTCACCTTCATGTGCCCATCCTCATCTTGCATCCATGCCAAGTTCTTATTTTCTGAGTGCTTGGGAAAGAAGCAGTCATCTTTACCTTCCCCCCTTCCCCCAAATATAGGAGGTTATACTTGATAATGTAATCTGGAACTCAGCATTGATAAGTGAGAGGATTCCCCTTTTACCCTCACCCCAACCCCCAGCCTCTTTTCCAAATCCCAAATTAGCCACACTGTTAAGTGTTCCTATTTTATCTACCTTTGCCCAAGAATTTTTCAGGTATATTCCACCTGTGCCCACCTGCCTATCATATCACCTCATTTGGTAATTCTGCATCTCCTCCACCTGCCCCACCTGTACCTCAGGAAGTCCCATGAACATGCTTGCTCCTCTACTCATAATTTTCTCAGCCTCACCTGGCTACAGACAGGACCCAACTCCTATCAAACTCATTGTTCTTTATTTTTTTAGGATGTGGGGATCAGCAGATCTCATCAGGAAAGCACTGTTTTGCACTGGGTTGCTGAGTGAAAGGAGGAAGGTACTTGATAACCAGAAGATTAGGGAAGGCTGGGCACCCAGGCCTGAGGAATGACATGAGAAGAAACTGTTTATCCTCATGCTTTTTCAGACCAAGAATCATTCTTTAGTATACTGTTAATGGTACTGTATTCCCCAGTGTATTGTCAAAGGATGGTGATCACACCAGCAGCATCAGCATTACTGTAGAGCTTGTTAGAAAGTTAGATCTGGAGCCTGCTCTAGACCTGCTAAATCAGAATCTGCATTTTAGCAAGATCACAGGCGATTAATATGCCCATCAAAGTTTGAGAAGCTCATCTCTAGAGTATAGGTTTGGCTTTTGAACCTTCTTTTCTTCCTTTAAATGTTTTAATTAAGTTTTTATTTAATCCAAGGGTAGTTAACATACATCCTTATGTGAGCTTCAGATGTACAATGTAGTGATTCAACACTTCCATATGTCTTCCGGTGCTCATCCCAACAAGTGCATTCCTTAATCCTCATCTCCTGTTTAAACCATCCCCCCACCCACCTCCCCTCTGGTAACCATCTGTTTTGAACCTTCTTTAAATTAGTCCTTTCTCATTAATCTTCATTTGGAATGAAGAAGTCATTTTTCATGCTATTAACAGTACTTTGCCCATTGCTATTTTGTGTAGAAGATAATATTAACAGAAGGTACCATTTGTTGAATGCCTGCAGATGAGAAAATGAAGGCTCTGTGACATACCCAAGACCAAACAAGTAGTGAATGGTAAAGCTGAGACTATAAGCCATATTATACACCCATAAAATCCCCAAACTTTGCCCATACAGTACTAACTACCAAAGGAGGGCCTATGGGGTTACTTGGATGGCACCTGTCTTTTAGGGAGTAGACAAAAAGTCAACCCAGACTTCACTAGGTGGTACAGAGGAAAGAGAAGGGAAGGGGCCTCCAGGCATGATTTCCCCAGAGAGAAATGGCCTGAGCATACTTCTTGTCCTGAGGGAGCTCACATAAGCCTTCTTGGGCCAGAAATTGCTGGAATTAGGACCAGATGCCAAGGGAACCTGGAGTGGGGATCAGGAGTATTACAAAAGGAAACCCCCAACCCTAAATCCCTGAGAGAAATTAAACCCTGATGCCTGATTTTGGGCTTGGGATATACAACAAAATCATGTGGGGCCACTCTGGTTTCTGGCTATCACATAGGTCAGTGAGGACATCACTTGAAGCCCCAGCCTGGGGCCTAGGACTATTACATCATAATATGCTATAGCTGGAAGGGTTGTTTGTGACAATGGAGTCCAATGTTTTATTTTGCAGAGAGGAAACAGAAGCTCAGAGAATGGGAGTAAGTTGTCAGAGTTCAGAGAATTCATGGCAGGGCCAGGGATGCTGACTCCAAGCACCACCATCTCAGTTGCAAAATGAAGTTTTCTTTGGATCTTCCCAGGTGCCCATAGGAAGTACAGACCCTGTAAATATGACTGAGACTGGTTTGTAAGTCTGTATAGCTCAGCAGGACATTCACCTTGGAAAATCTCTAGGTCACTATCCCCCAGCTATGTAAAATAAGCTGTAGTACTTACTACTTGCTCTTCAGGACCTGGAGTCTGCTAGGCTTGGCTGCTCCAGGCTTTCCTTTTCTGGGGCCCAGAGGACCCACGGAGATGGCTGGGTGGGGTCAGCTCAGTTCAGGAAGCACAGGAATTCTTTTAAGTGTATGTGTCTGGGGTATTTTTCTCTCTTACTTACGTGTATTTTTAAAAATTCTTTTTAGACACTAGCTTTATCTTTCCCAAACATCATTTCCTTGCTCCTTTCCTGAGTTCTAGCAGTGGCTGGGGGCCCAGTTTCCTTATTGGCCCCTGAGCTGTGGAAGGGGGTGGGCCAGGGCTCAGAGGAGGCTGGAGTAGGGAACAGGGGGACTGTTTATGCTTCTGGAACTGCCTTTCATCCTTCCCTTTGCCACCAGGGTACTGGCTGGTTTCTGGAGCAGCGTCTTCACTCCTGTCCTGCTCTTGACACTGGCTTTCCTTCCTCTGGCTGTGGCTGCATCTGGGTCCAACGGTTGATGGCCATACCTTGCCTTCAATGCCACTCCTCTCTGTTCTTGGAATTGGGACCTGACTGTGCCTGAGCCCTTTGCATCGCACTCAGCAGCTTGGGCTGATGGCCCCTCATCTCAGGAAGTCTTAACAGGAAGGCAGATGGGTCTCACCTAAGGGAAGATCCAGCCTGCAGAAAGAAGCACTAGGAGCTGGCTGGACAGGTTGTTGAGCACCTGAGCTGGCTGGATACCCAGTTTTTCTCCTAAGCCATCTCCCCACCAGGAGCAACTTCCATGGTAGGTGCTGCTGGTAGCCATGGCTGCTGCCTCTCTTCCCCCTTCTGCTTTCTTTCTTCAGTATCCCTTTATCTTTGCTTTCTAAGAAAGGAACTTTGGAGTAATGAATGGTAAGGTATGTGTTCATGACAGTACCTGAGCCAGTCTTGGGAGAAAGGGCAGGCACTGATGCCATTCCTTCCATGGCTAGGCCTGGAGCTGCATGTTTGGTGGTTGGCATTTTCTCAACTCTCTGCTTCTTTCTCTTCATCACTCTTCCCCACTGCCCGAAGAAGGTATGGTTTAAACTCAAGGACCACCAAGACTTTCCCTTTCTGACTGCTTCTTGTAGAAACAGCTAGGAGAAGCCTCAGATATACAAGCTTGTTGAGTCAAGTCCCTCTTTGGGGAGGAGGAGTCCTGTGGTATCCTAGAAAGGGCTGGAGGTTCTGAGCCTCATCCTCATTATGTGTGCTCTTGGCAAAGCAATTTATCTGCGTTTCTGTTTCCTCATCTGTAAACTGAGGATAATAATAGCTCTTACTGATAAGGTTGGAGTGAGGACTGAATCAACTAATATATACAAAGTGCTTAGTGCCCGGCACATCTAAGTGGTCAATTAATGGTCCCTGTTCTGTTTTTGTAAAGTTCATGGTATGTCAGGTACTACACTGAGTGGTTTCACACACAGGGTTGCATTTAATCCAGGCTATAATTCGTGAGTAAGGGGTTCTCTTCATAGTTTTACAGACAAAGAACCTACAACTCAGAGAAGTGACTTGCCCAAGGTAACACAGCCAGGAGTGGAATGTCAGTGTAGACTGTCTCCAAGTCTAGGGATGTTTAGTAATAATACTAGACTGAGTATTAGACCCTATTGATAGTTTCCTCTCCTTTTCCAAACTAGGGCTAGAAGTCTCCAGCTCTGGCTACAGCTCCTCTGCTAGGATTTTCCTTCCCATAACTTGTGGTTTTCTCTCAGTGGTCCCAAATCCCTATTGCCTTGCTTCTGTCTCTTTGGGATTGTTTCCAACTCCTGGAGAGACCCTAGATAGTAGATGCCTTTGTTAGCTACATTTCAAATTGTGGCTGAGGAGTGGTGTAGCCAAACCTTGATAGCAGATAGACAAATCTGGTGGGAGTACTTTTGAGCAATCCAGAAGGACAAGTCTGAGCTGATAACCTTTATTATAGTACGTGCTATTTATTGACCACTTGTTATGTATCAGGCTCTGTCTCAGATGCTTTGAAAATATTATCCCTAATCCTCACCATAACCTAGCCAGGTAAGGATTATTGTTCCCTTTTTCAGATAAGAAAACCAAAGCTCAGATGGGTTAAGTGCCTTGCGTACAGTCACACATCCAAATTGGTAGAGTTAGGACATGAACCGAGATCCACCTCACTCATGTTTGTTTCCTTCCTTACTGGCCTGATACAGTTGGTGGGATGAGACTGTCATACATGAAATTATGATGTGCAATATAAAACATAATATTATTATAAGATAAATTGTGAGGACTAGATTACTAAGGGCAAGCACCCTGGAGGACATGGTACTTGAGCAGCACCTTAAAGAATAGGTGGGATGCAGACTGACAAAATTAGAGGGGGATTCCAGCTGAAGAGAATAGTCAGAGTAATAACTAAGATAGGCTGAGGGCTTACCAGACCTTGTTCTAAGCATTCGACATACATTGTCTCATGTGATCTTTACAACCCCACGAATTAGCTATTTTATCCCCATTTTAGAGCTCTGAGAAGTGAAGTCACCTGTGCAAAGTAATAGTCTCATAAGTGGGAGAGCTGGGATTCAAACCAAGGTGGTCCATCTACAGAGCCTGTGCTAGATTCTATTGGAGAACCAATGGCAAAAGTGCAAAGTTGCCTACAGGACATGACTGGAGCACAGATATGGGAGATTGGGCCAGGTGGGTAAAGATAGCTCATAGACAGCTTTGAACATCTCACCCGGTTTATATTTGATGCAGGACAGGGGAAGAAACATGGAGCCAGGGAAGATTCTTGAATAGGTGAGTGCCACAATTCAATTGGTGTTTGATGTGATATGACCCAAAAGCAATTACTGGAGATGGAACAATGAGAGACTGGCTGGCAGACTGACATGGTATTTTGGACATTATAGTGTTAAGGGCCTGGACTAGAACAGAAGGTGTTGGTGGTGGGTTCTGTGGAGAAGTGTAATTATGTAGAATAGAATCAATGAAAATGGAGAGAGAGAGAGAGAGAGAGAGAGAGAGAGAGAGAGAGAGAGAGAG